TATTTTAATGCAAATTAGTGTATTTTTGAGAAACTTTTAGTTTCGAAGATTTGTTCAGGAACTTATTGGTATAGTATTTTAATACAATCGTTATTCAAAACTAACAGAGGATCACTCTGCTACTCGACTAACAGAGTTGATTTGCCATTTGTGGACATTCCATATCCTTGATGTCAAACTATTTACTATCCTATAGCCATTGGTGGCACTTGTTAAGCACAATCATTTCATGTTACTCACTGGATCTTTAGCGACGGAAAACAGAAGGTCTCCTTCTCTGTTGTACTTCATCTGAGTGATGGACCGTTCGTGGCCTTGCAGCCGGATGGAGTTCTGTATAGAAAAGCAATAGTTGCAAGTTCATTTCATATTTTCAAAAAGGTGCATCAGCCCAGCTCAAACTCCAGTCAAAGGCCAATTTCTTATTTACCACGACAACTCTATGTTCAATATTTAGGACAAAAACTAATTTCTGACAAAAGCTCAACCGAACGACTACCATTTCAAACAAAATACAACCGACAATTGTTTTGAAAAATCCACCGTTTAAATCAATCACATGAAACCAATTATGAAAAGGGGAAGAAGGAAGAACAAATGACGATCAGTGATTGGAGGAGAGTGACAAAAAAGTGATAAGTAGAGGAAGAGAGAAACAAACCGCCCAGCGGTCTAGGCCTGTTTAAAGCACGATAATGATTACTTTTTATTTTTATAACGTTAATGATTATTTGAATTCATGATTGTCCTTCAACCACCAGTAGGGTTGTATTTTACTGCTAATATAATAGTCTGCTTTCTTCTCAGTTTCAACTTACTTGAACTTTAGAGCCTAACTGTAGTCTTTAACGAAACAAAGTATTTTCTTATTTAGGCCTAGAACTTCAATTTTGACTCTGCTCAAAGTCAGATCAGTGAGTAGAAAGACAAAACAGGACAAAAATTAAACAGGAAATGAGAAAAGCCACAAGACGACCTGCGCTGCCTACTGTACCACAGTCACCCTGGGTAAGGGAGGAGGTGTGGGGGATGAAGAAAAAGTAAAAATAAACCACACACACACAAACACACACACACAGTGTGCGACTGTAACAATGCTCCAGTGTTTTATGTTTATTTATGGGGACCATGGGGTTGTGGGGGCTGACATGTTTATTGTGGCCCTTGTATCAGGAGCCACCGAGGGGAGACGGGGAGGAGGAGGAGCAGTATGAGGAGGGCACAGGTACAGAGTTTTACATGAGCCGAAATTTACCATCACTGAGAAGAGAGAATAGGAGAAAGGGAGGGAAGGAGGAGAAGGGAGGAGGAGAGAGAGAGAGAGAAAGATACAGAGAGAGAGAGACAGGGGGGTGATATACAGGAAGGGAGAGGTGAGGACAGTTCGGTTGTAGGAGGGGAGGGATAAGACATCAAGTTTAGAGGATAAGGTGAAGATGGAGAGTACGACATGTCTACTCCTGTCTTTTCCTCGTGCACAAGGGGGAGATAAATACAGTTTAAATGTAATTTTGATGAAGAAAAATGGTTTAATTTGGTTTTATTTCTTATAATTTTGTGTTTGTTTTTGTCACCTGCTGATCTTGACTCATTTCTAACAGAAAACTGTTGACTGAAATGGATATTACTGTCAAAGCAAAGACATGTAAAAAAGGTTTCATTTTCCATCATTATGTATTATTTTCTGAACTTCCTTGAGTCACGTTCACCTTATGTAAAATGGTCCTCGCATCGTTAACCTTTAGCCTCTCATCAATCATGAAAAGGCAAAAGATGAAAAATTTGAATTTATCTCCTCAAGGAAAAAATGTCACTCTCTAATAAAGTCTGATGAGACATTCACTGACTTCATTAGTCTAAAGTGTGAGTGCATTTCATGAAAAAGTTAATATGAATGTTTGACGAGTAGAGCCTTGACAGCACCCACAAACACATTTACCATGGATGTGTCGTCTTTCATGCACTGTGTAAATATTCTTGGTAAAATTAAACTCATTCAGGTCCTGTCGTCCATTAATGTTAGTGACATTCATTGCTTGCACCTGCTTTCACTATGGTGTATGAATAACATCTGTCCCTTGTGATTACATTTAGATGATGAGGAGGAGTTTGCAGCGCCTCCAGTGCGTCATTCGAGTGTGTTACTAAATCACCGAGGAACCTGTGTGGCAGAGGACAACAATTTAATATTTTAAATAAAGACTGTTAGGTGTTAGCCATGCTGCTGAAGGACTGTGGTTTTTTTTTTTATGGCTGAAGGCTGCAAGCAGGGTTGTTTCTAAAAGAAGCAAAAATATAGATGGAATCCTGAATGTGAATGAATGAAACTGAGATTCACATTTTTACTGGGAAGCAAAGCCTGGAAACTATCCCTCAGGACTGGACCTGCCTGAGGTCATAACACTCACACACACACACACACACACACACACACACATTCCATGCTGCAGCCCGACCCAGGATAACACACCCACTCTTGTTCTATCAGTGAGGAAAAAAACCTCCCACATCCTCTCTTTCACACACACACACACACACACGTGTTTGCATTCGCATCACTGGTGTGGATCTCTGACCTGAAACCTGCTCCAGGGCTCAGTCTAATTGTTGGTGAATATTCAACCTTTAGACTTACAACTGTGCCATTGTTATTTTGTTTATTCTCACGTCACGACTCCTCAGAGGAAACAACTATACCGGTATGACCTTAGCTCAAGCTACGGGAGCTGACACGCTCCTGAACTTCAACTCCCAGCATGCAATGCTCCACCCTGCCATCTGCTGTCACTTAAACCGCTCCCTAACTCTCCCATGACCTTTTGACAAAGACCGTTTCTGACTCTTACAAGTAACAGGACGTCTGTTCTTCTATTTTTTTTTGTTGCTGCTGCTTCTTCTCATTTTCTCTATCCCACATATGAGGACACCTGCTGGTGGGAACCATGAAAAACGTCTACCACATAATCAAATAGAAGTCTACATGATCAGAAATCATTGTTTGTTTCATTCTTAAAATAAAGTCACGATTACCAGCCATCCGTCAGACTTTAAATTCCTCGATTATCGGCTTAAATACAACCAGCAAGAGCGAGTCCAAAGCGAGTTTCCAGAGTTTCCAGTCCACTGCACCTCTGCTGAAACATTTACCATAATTTACCGTAAAATCGCAGCAACAACAACAATAATAACGTCTGTACTGGTATAAAGACAGCAGGTTTAACGGTGTGATGATGCCGAGACGTTAAAGGATGATCCTGCACACACATGGACATGAAATCAGTTTTATGGCCTGAGTGCAGAAACAGTCCATCAGAGGACGATGAGGAAACTGATCCACATGATCTACAGGCCACTCAGCTGAGTTATGTCCTCACTAACTGAAAGTCAGTGAAAACATAAAACCTTTAGACCTGGGGTAAAGAGGGGGGAAAAGCTGCTGTAGGGAATTTTCTACAGCACCAGGTTTATTGTCCTTTAGCTCAGGTTTTACTGTGTTCCTGGATCTTCTGGATTACTTCGATATCTGTGAGATTAAAAAATCAGCTACATCTGTTACTGTGTTTGAGAGTGCCCATGTCTATTCATCAAAAGTAGGATAGATCATTTCCAGATTTTTCCAGGTTCTAATTACAAAAGCATTCAAATAAACAACTGGATAATAAGGAAATACAGAAAAAAACTTGTAAGTAAAGATAATGAACTGCAAAAAAAAAAAAAAAAAAAGTTACAATCAGTGGACAATGGAAGAAGACCATTATTCCTGCAGCAAGTTCAGATGTTTCTCTCATTGGAACCTGTTGTTAATTTAAAAATTTAAAAAACACTACTACGACTACTACTATTTGCAGAAGGCATTCAATGCAAATTACAGCCAGAGTGGAAAGACAAATAAAACAAACTTTCACCAATCAAAGCTACAAATATAAAATTAAATATACTTGGTCTATATATATTGTAAATTTGGTCTTATAGGTGGTCCATTACCCCTAGAGGATGTGTAGAGTTACTGTAACGGGATGTAAATGTTTCAGTTCATTCCACCTA